ACATATATGTTGGTACTGGACCAAGTCTTTTTTATGTTTTTTTTTCATTTAATCCTCATGGTGACTCAATAAAATGCAGGTATAGTTATCACCTTCATTTGATACATAAAGTTCCTGAGAATGACAAAAAAAAATTTATATTGGCCAAAAGCCATACATCTAGATAGGGGTAGATTCAGAATTTGAACCTAACTTAGTCTTGTATCAGAGCCAAGTTTCCCCATAGCTTCACTAAGCTACACAGTCTGTTTTTTGAAAATCAAAATAAATTACTTTTATTTGGAGTATTGCTGCTTATAAAGTGTATTGGTTCAGGTTAAACTACATGAAATTGCCATTTTTGTATATAAAAAATGGTTGAATACTGGTGATTTTAAGTTTGAGTCTATAATTTAGTCCTTTGAGTCAGACAGTAATTTCATTTGGGAATTATAAATAGGGCTTTAAAATTGAGGAATCTCAGACCTAGAAAAGATTAAGGATATTGAAAAATGTTCTAGAAATAAAAAGATGAAGGAGGGAAAGTACTTGTGTTATCTTGCATATTTCCTTACTGATTTCACTGCCCTTGTCAAATTCCTTTCTTGTAAACATATCTTTGATTTTCTTCCTTCTTGCTTCTACTTCAACAATATCTTCTTCCCTTCCTACCTGTACACTTCAAAATCTGATACACATATTTTTCTTTTTTAGGCTCCCAAATATACCTCGTGGAGAGTCCAATTTTCTTCAAACTTCTTTCTATGGATCACTTCACTCACTCACTTTATAATCAGAATGTTTTAATGCTTCTTTCAGTCCTGAATGGCCTTTGTATTTCTCTTCAATCTTCTATAATCATTATATATAACTTGAAGCCAGGTTACAGGGTTCCCTTTGATAACTTCGTTCCTCCCTTCGGTGATTCTCTGAGGCATAACTGGTGTTGATCATGTTCTCCAAACACTACTGCATAACACATTTTACTCAAGGGTTTTAGTGGAGATGGAGATTATGTACATCACACATTTCAGATCCACAATATCTCTTCCAAAAAAAAGCCAAACAAAACTCTTCTCTACTAGTCTCCTCCTCCATACATCACTCTCCAGGCACCTTCGATACTTCTTCCAGATTTCCTCAGCATCCTCCAAGTTCCTCCTCACCCCTTCTTTTCCTATAGCTCTAAATTTCTTCTCTGATGCAATGCAATTTGCCCTACCACAGCTTCTCTGATTTGCATCTTCACACTTACAACCACCATGCTCAACAAACCAAAAAATACCCCCTGTGCTCATCTTTCTTAGGAGGTAACTGAACATTACAAATAATAAATACTCCTTCCAGATTTCCTCAGCATTCTCCAAGTTCCTCCTCACCCCTTCTTTTCTTATAGCTCTAAATTTCTTCTCTGATGCAATGCAATTTGGCCTACCACAGCTTCTCTGATTTGCATCTTCACACTTACAACCACCATGCTCAACAAACTAAAAAATACCCGCTGTGCTCACCTTTCTTAGGAGGTAACTGAACATTACAAATAATAAATGCTATTTTCTCTTCATGTTTCTTATACAATGTGTTCTTTTCTCTGGACAGCCTATAAGCCCACACCTTAAACAGAAAAACATTTACTAGCATCTACTCTGGTACTAGTTCCATAGATTAGTCTCTCTGTTTGACACTTGCTGTGCATCCATCAGCCAAGAGCTATCATATTGCAAGCATAGAGCAGGCATGAAAAATATGTTGTTAAACTGATTTCTATTGTACCCAATAATCTTTCAAAGCACCAAGAAAAAGGGATTTAAACAGATAGAAGAATTCTGACAGAAATAAATCCACTGTATATGTTTATAAAGATTAAAAATATTTTCTATAAATCTCTACCTGCCTTTCAATAATGTATGCCACTATCTATCAAAATTATGACTAAATTGCTTAAAGTTAGTTATCTATCAATAAAATACACACTAAAACTTATGGTAAAAAAATCAAAGTAATTGACTTTTTATAACAACATAATCTCACTAATAGAAGAAATGCAATATGAATGATATTTTCATACACATAAATTAACAAACATTTTAAAAACAAAGACACCCAATGCTAGAGAGGAGGAAATAAAGCAAATATATCCAGAGTGTTAATAGGATTATAGATAGAAACACCCCTTTCAGAAAGCAATGTGGCAATATATATCACAAAGCCCCCAAGATATTTATGTCCTTATATTCAGTATGAATAACTACTAGAAATTTATTTTGAGAAAATCAGAGTAAGAGATTTATGAATGAAGGTGTCCACTGCAGTAACAACCTCAATGTATAACAGTATGAATAGGTAAATTTAGATGTACCAACTCAAACTAAGGTGATATAGCATCCTAAAAGCATTGTAATAAAGGGCCATGATTATACAAAAATTCATGATTAAATAGTTAATGAAAAACTGGGGAAGCAATTCACATATATATGAATATATACAGAAAGATCACAGATATATTAAAATATCCATAGAAAACATTGGCATAGATATCTTTGTATCTTAGAACCATGAATAATTTTTCTAACAGTTTATATTATTGACATTTTTAGAGTAAAGTTTATTATTTATAATTAAAAAATAATAAAAATATTTATTTTATACAAATCTTAGTTTTGGTATATATATCATGGAAACTATTTCAATCCTTCTAAAGGAAAGTAACTGACTAATACAACAAACTGAACATTCTTACTTAGTAGATTCCTTTCAGTTAACTTGTCACAGTAGGCCATTTTTTTCAAACCAGTTAATGTCCATTATACTGATGACTAAAATTATGTGAGAAAATATAATATCGTGTAAATAAAAGATTAGTAAAAAAGTTGTTTCTATAAAAAGACCCCATAAAGACTAAACAAAGGGCTGTCAAATGTTGTAGGTTGGTGTTAATGAAAAACATTGAGGAAAAATGAGGACTTATGATTGCAATTTATAAGAAAGTCATAAAAATCTAAAATGGTTCTACACTAGGAATACCACCAAATATCTTTAACTCTTTTCTTTCAAAAAGTAAGAAAGAAAAAATGGGACCATCTACAATGCATTATTAGTGAGGTTTGTGCTAGAAAGATGATGATTCCTTAGTTTGCCTACTTAAGTTCAAAGTAATGGTTTCGGTTTTCCACCAAAAATTGATATTTTAATGTATGTTTATGTTTTAAGCAAAAGTAAAATGACAAGACAAATGTATACTTTAATCAACACTTTGGCTAAAACCACCAAATACTCATTCTCATTGGTTGGATTTGAAGACCTCTACTGCACATAGTATATGCACAAAAAATAACTTGTAATCATATATGTAAATTATCATTTATTTAAGCAATCATGTATGTCTATGCTTATAGGCAAACATATATGTATATATGTGTGTGCATGCATTTAAAGATATATTTATACATATATATATATGAGTTTATAGACACACACATATATAAAATATATGTAAATACCATGAAATTAACTACAATACTCTTTACCAAATCATGCTATCATGCAATAGATCTTTCATATGGAGGTAATTTAAGGAACTCAAAGTGTGAAATTAAACTTAGTGATAATGACCACTGTGCATGCAGGCATCGTGGTTCTGGTTGGAAGCATCTTGTTTAACTTACTGTTCCTTTACCCTTATCAGCAATGGCCAGAGCCTAGAAATTTCTTATTCAAACATTCTAAGGTTCACCTTCTGGGGGGGTTCAAGTTCCGAAATCTAAAGCTCTCTGCAAAGACACCATTTACAACCAAATCAGAAGTCTGCTTTGGAACTCTTGGTTTAGTAAGTTTCTCAGAGTCCAGTCCAAGTTTTTAGTGCTCCTTCCTCTTCAGTATGTGAAGTCAAGACTGGCTAAATGAGTTCAGAAGTCCAAATGGTGAAGTAAATAGCTCTTCTTTAAAATATATATAAGAACGTTTTGTATTGGTGAATGGTTATATTTTCATTTTTCTCCTTTGCTGAAAAGATATTAAAATGGTAACATACAGAGGAGAGCATTGCACTATCAGGCACACCAGAGAGTGAGAAAACATTCCAAGTGAAGCATCGAGAAGTAGTAAACCTGGCTTTAAACCTTTACTCCTTGCTTTTTTGCTCTGTGATCTTGGGCAAGTTACTCAACATCTCTGAACCTTATTTCTTCATCTTAAAAATGAGAGAACTACCACCATCCTTATGAGATCTTATGAAATTAGCCCAAACCAATTATGTGCTTGGCATGTTTATTGAGAGGGATATCAGTAAATGTTCATTTCTCCTATTACACAAATTTTGGTGTCTTAGAGTTATTTGAGGATCTAAAGCAGTAATACATATGGGGAAGAAAGGGGGAGAAAAGCGAAAGTAGATTTACAGTTGTGAGTGTACAAACAGTTTATTCTTGTATTATTTATTAATAACTAGAGGGCTGCTGCACAATATTCATGCAAGAATAGGCCTTCCTTCCTCTGACTTCACTCCTGGGACCACCCAGGAGCCTGCAAGTCCTTACTCAAGGCAGGAACACCACTCTTGGAGCTCCCTCCGCTACCTCCCCTCTTCCTCATAGCAGGTGTCCTGCCCCTCCTGGCTGCTCTGCACCTGCATATGTAAATTAACCCACCATCTTTGTCAGGTTAATTTGCATATTCACTCCTGATTGCCTGTGGGCATAGCAGAATTACAGTTAATTTACATGTTTGTCTATTATTAGGTAAGATTGTATTATTTTTCCATACAAACTGTAAACCTTCTTTTGCCCCACCCTACATACACCAGGCTCTAGCTCAAGTCTGATCCACAATAAATATTTTCTCTTAAAGAAAGTAAACAACTAGAAATATTTATAGACAACTTCTTATCCAATGTTGTTTGTTCTCTATTAATGCCATTAATCACATAAAGAAAATAATCAATTTAACATATATTCATCACACACACACACACACACACACACACACACATACACATGCAACTGCAAGTGAAATGTAAGGCTCACCTGCAGTTCCAGAGAGTTCCACACTTAAGGTTCGTTCAATAGTCTTGTTCTCAAATGGGGAACCCTTGGGGTCACTGGAAGATATGGCACATTTATAAAAACAAACTGAAATGGAGTTGCTGTAGCCAAATGTATTAGAACCCCCTTCCCTTTCTGAAAATGGTTACATTTCTTAATACTTACTTTGGTGACTCTGGGGTCAGAGGAAGAGATAAAGTTGTTGGTTTGGCTAAAGGAAAAAAAAGGAAACTAATTATGAAATATTGAGTGTTTTTTTTTAGATTTGTTCTCTTGCTATAATAGTCACGTGGGAAACTGGAAACTGTAAATCAAAAGTAAGGAAATTCCTGAATATTGGATCAAAGTCAGTCAACAGTCCATTAAAAAAAAAAATCCAAACAATAATTGTATCAGAAAACTACCATTCAAAAAACATACAAAAATTGAGTTAAAAAAAAAAAAAAGGTAGCATCCCTCTTAAGGATACCAAATGTGCATCACACCATCAGAAAGAAATGTTTTCTATTTGAATTTGGAATACAGTACACGGTTTGTTTAGATAAGAAAAGAGCAGAGTAACTACAAAATGACAGAACGTTATGAATATTCAGTTGATTTTTCTCCTAAAACATATAATTTTATATCTAGCCTGAGAATAGGTTATTTGTATGAGGCCAAAGCTCACCCAATAAGCATTCCCTTCACTAGAAATGAATTGAGAGATTATGGCAAATTTTGGACATGGATCCAGATGGTTGAAAAGGGCCTCAGATTCACAAATCTGATAAACCAGTGAAGTAAGATACTATGTTTATCAGTTGAGAGACCCAGAGCTGTGTAAAGAGAGCTCATCTACTTCCCTTCATGCTTCCTAAATTTTACCTGTTACCGAAGGCATTTCCCAACTATAAAGGGTGAAGTAAGAATCTTCTTACTCCAAAATTTATTTCTCTTCAGAAGTCTTGTATTTTGAACAGGAGGGGAGAGCATAATGTGAAATGTCCTTGGAATATATATCTACATACCTATAATAATAAAAGTGTAATGTGCTAATTAGACTAGATGTCCTTCCTGGACGAAGCCAAGGCTGCAGCTGCAGGATCCAGGCAGCTGCCCCTGACTGCCAGGGAGGGATCCAGGCAGCCAATGTGGCTGCAACGGAGGGATCGAAGCAGCTGCCACAGCTTCGAAGGAGTATTCTGCATGAATTTCGTACATCTGGCCTCTAGTATATATAATAAAAGTCTAAGCGACCATTAGGGTGGAACGACCAGGACAATCAGTCACTATGATGCACACTGACCTGGGGAGCGCAGCAGTGGTGGCAGGAGCCTCTCCCTCCTCCACAGCAGCTCTAAGGAGCAGTGGATTGAGCAGTAAGGAGCATTGAGGAGGCGGGTAATAAAGAGCAAGGGATTCTGGGCTGTAAGAGGGCACAGGCTGGGCTGAGGAACCCCCCCACCAGTGCATGAATTTCATACACTGGGCCTCTAGTTACTTATATATATGCCTATCTAACAAAGATATATGTATACATATGTCCATTTTTTTTCTCAGTAAAATAACTACTTTTAAAAGGTAGTCATTTAAATAATGAAAATCACAGAATTGAAATAAAAAAAAGTTTTTAGAATAATCTTCCTTATTTTATGGGGGAAAAGCCTGAGAAATATCTTTGAAATGCTGAAAGATATTGCCAGAGCCATAAAACTAGTTACTGGCAGAGTTGGCCCAGAATATGTTTCCTTTCTTCTAATATCAAAAGGGACTGCAACCAATAGATATTCAAGCAAATTAATCAACCCCAGTAATTAAGGTCCTTTGGAATGTGAAAATATTATTTATATCCAAATTAGGGTGAAATTAGGTACTTTACTTGGATAAATAGTATTTACATATTTAATTTGTAGATTTAGATTTAGTTTTTAAACAATGGAATGGTTTCTCATCTATCCAATGTGCATTCAGTAATACAAAGCTCATGCTGTCTTCTACAAATTAGGTACATTGATTGATTGGCTCTTCTATATAAACAGATAAATGAACTGGTCTTACATTATTATTTTTTTTTCTTTTTAGTATGTCTGATATAATGAACCTTTCAAAAAGAACACACTTATGAAGGAACTTTACCCACTTTTAAGGTGCTCAACTAATAATTACAATAATACATGCAGGTTCTATAGAACATGTCTGCCTATGAACTAGGTGCTATCACACACAATAAAAGCACATAGAAAATCAATCACTAGAATTCCAGTTTTCAAGGTATGGAATTGGTTTTCCGAAATGCTCAAAGGAAGACCCCCAAAATTCTGGTAGTTTGGTATAGGTAAGGACAAGGGCAATGGAAGGAGGAAGTAGGCAATGGAGATATTTAATGGGACCAAAGGCAGCAGAAAATGAGGGCTATAGGGAAGGGTATAGCTCAAACCACAAACAGACTGGAATCGATATGTCCAGGCTCACAAAAGGAGCACTGAATTGGTTCACTCAGAGTTTAATCCACATTGTTCTAGAGACTTAAATCCACATTGATCCTTGAGGGCAGGAATTCATCTTTTTTATGCAGATCATGGTATTTTTAGATAATGAATACATTAGCAAATGAATGAATAAGTGAATGAAGGGGATACCAACAGGTGCCAAAGGCCTGACCATTAACCTAAGGAACTTGAAAGAACTTGACCTCACCACCTTACAAAGAACAAACAGGAAGTTCAGTGGGAAAAAAAATTATAATCCATTAAGGTAACCTCAGCAGAATCTCTCAGTAGTCACCTCCAATAGTTCATGTATTTTTCACTTTCAAATTTTGATAATAATTTAAGTAACCCCTGAAGCTGAGCATTGATTTTCTATTGCTTATTAGCAGCCAGCCATATTTGCTTTGTTTTAGGACTTTAATAACTACAATAATATATATAGAGTCAAAAGGCTTTGCTCTGGGATACATTCTTTATGCCTCACCACAGACATATACCTTAAAAAACAAACAAACAAACAAACAAACAAATGAAAAACCACATACAGCATGTATCTTCTAAAGAATATTTTCCCCATAAACCAATTTAGTTCCTCACTGCCATGGTTTGCAACAGTTTACAGTAATATTTAGTGGTAAGCAAATATAAATATTGGGGGGGAAAAAAAGAACCTCAAAATCCAAAAGGGACAATTAAAGTTCCAAAGCAAGACCTTTAAAATGTGCTGCTGGGCTGGCTTTACTGACTCCAAGGCTTCATCAAGCTCAGGACTTCATATCCAGCTCCAGAAAATGAATGCAAGAATAGCAGAAGGTGAAGAGTAGCAGTGAATTCTTCAGTTTACTCACTAGAGCAAGCCCAGCTGGCTTTCCCTCACCTGAGGCCTTAGATAGCTATGTGTCTGTCCCCCAGATGACTGGTTCTGCTCTGGGAAAAACTCCTCCAGTGTGTGAGGGGCCCATCAGGCCTAAGCAAGCTAAGAGAATTTGACTCCTCTACATAAATGTATTTCCCTGAACTGGCAGAAAGGGATATGTAGTGATTTTGAGGTAGCTACAGTGAAAAACCTAACTGGGAGCCAATTTAACATATTAAAGGAAGGTTTCTGAAAAAGCTGGGCTTATGGTGAGCTGGGGATGAGAGAGGGAAAGACACAACACTGGGGAAGGAAACGCTGTTGAAAAGCAGCAGCAGCAGCAGCATACCTGTGCAAAGCAATCATGATTCATAACAGGGAGGCGGGGCTGCCGCTCTGCAGCTGCACAGGGAAGTTGGGAGAACAAAAGGGAAAAGAGAGGTGGCTGTTTATAAATACTATATTAGCAAAGGCCTACTTTCACTACAAGGATAGAGGTCAAATTCACAGAACCTGGGATATTTTTAAGCAACAACAACTTTTACAAGTTCTTTTTGCACCTGTAAGACTAGAATATTTTGAAAGGAGGAGCCAAAAACAAAAGAAAAATTTATCTCTGCCAAGAGAGGTTTCCCCCAAATCAGCCTGATCTGCCTCAGAAGCCTTCTAATAATGTAGGGGGTAGTACAAAAATCAATCTAGCTGTTTCATTTCATCTAGGCAATCGTTTCTTTAGATAGAAAGCAAATTTTTAAAATTCTAGGAATTTCCAAATCCTTATTTCCAAAAAGAAACAAAAACAAAAACACAAAAACAATTGAGAACCTAGCATGTACTCTTAAAAAAAAATAGGAAAGAATGCACTTAATAACCACAAGAGGCTACATAATTGTTATTTACAATTTCTTAAGGTACATACACAGAAAGTCAACAATGCCTTATTTTTTCCATTAATGAAAGAGGGGGAAAAATAAAAGCTCTGTAATGAATCACCTAGCCCAGCCTGCCCAGAACTTCAATGACCTCAGCATTTCAGAGCTCCTGTAAACCTCATCTGAAGTTTCAATGCTTTCCTCTTCCTCACCCACCTACTCGACTTACATTTCAGGGGCCATTGGGCAATTGTGAATCAGGCTGCACATCAGCTAAATAGGATATGTTCACCCTATGTCCACAGAAGGATTATTTTCCCCCATCTACAGTGAAGTGCTGAATACTCTTTCCAGAGTGAAACTGTGGGCATGGAAGCCCACAGTTTGGGCATCGCCAGCCCAGTGTATGCCGGCTCACCCTTTGGCGCTCTCACCCACAGAATACGTTTTGGCCCCCAACCTACCTTGTAAATGTTGCGACTGCGATTGTGTATGGGACTTCTTTTTGGAGGTGCATTTGTCTCTGCTGCTGTTCCTGGTCTCTGTGGGTTTGCTGTGAGGAGGGTCATCGTTTGTGGTCAGATACTTGAGAAGCTCTGAGCAGGGACGTCTTTGTGGCTTTTGCTGTTGACAAATGCTCTTCGCTTTATTGCTCCATGAATTCTCGGTCTTAAAAAACAAGGCATAAAGAAAGCTAAAATTAGTGAACTGAACCTTAGCAGAATGGATATAGGTTTTCTGAAGAGATGAGATTTTCAATGAAGTGTTCAGTCTAAGTGTACTGGATCTATGAGCTGTGAATAATTGTTTGCAGAACAAGGAAAGAAAATTACATTTAAAATTCCTAAATGACGTTTATGCAGCTTTTTATTTCATTTCTCCTACATTGCAATGTTCTTACTCAGCAACATGTAACTAACAAGACCCTACAGCGCCTTTACTGTGAATAAAAAAAAATAATAAGCTGGTTTAAACCTTAATTTGCCACTGATTGCCAGAGCCCAGTATTCACAATTCTCTTAAGTATCCCTTAACGCTCCGTTTTCACTCGCAGTGAATGGCAAGACAAACATTGTTTAATACAGCTTGCTAACCGAATTATGTCATTGCCAGCATTCCATCCAATTAATGGCAGAGACAGATCTTTTGCGGTGATTCCAGAGCCATCTTTCTCAGGTTGGACAGCTGGCAAAACAGCAACCCTGCATCTTGAAGTCACTTAGAGTTAATACCAGCCTATCAGCAAATTGAATTGCAGCCCGCCCTGCTGCATGTATTAATACAATGGGCAAGAGCAACAGACGGCAGAACTTCCATTCCAATTGTCCAAAGACAAAGCGCAAATGGGCTCTGCCTGGTTGAAAGCGGCTGGAGTGCTGCTTCTGGACACCCATGTCAGAATCAGTTTCAGCATTGTGAAGCGGCTGAAGTGCCCAGACCCATGAGCAGCACAAATAAGCTCAGGTCTGGCTTTACAGCTACAAGTAAAAACCCTCTGGGACTTCCCCTCCTGTGTTAAAAAAGAGTTTACTTTTGTACCTTAATGACTGCAGGGTTTGTTCTCATCCTGTGACTATGGTTTGCATGGTTCTGGGTACTGAGACCACTGCATTCAGTATAACTTAGCTGAGTGTTGGCTGGTGCCAGTAAGAGCTTCTTAAGCTAGAAACATATCAGGGAATGGGAAAGACAAGAGAGATATGAGTCTTCTGAGCATTAGAATAAGTCATTAACATTTCAAACTTAAAATTCAGTCATTGTAATGATAAAAAAAAGTAATTCTATCACACCTCAGCACAAAAAGCACTAACAAATGTGTATTTTTAAAAAGTAAGAAGTTTGGCATTATGCTACCACCTGTGAAACTATTTCCTTTTTCTACATTTGAGACTTAGTGTTGTCTACCTCAATATTTCATTTATATAAAGGGGAAAAGGTCTTCCTAACAGGATTTCCAAATCACTGCTGGGTGGGAAAAGCTGCCTTGCTAAATGAGGATTTGGGGTGTGGGGAGGGAATATATGGACATTTCCCCATCAATAACCCAAATGAATCAAGTGGTAATAAATTAAAGATTCTGTGATGTTCCGAATCATGTTGCATAATAAAGTATAATACTTGGCTGATTCAAAGAATACTTGGAATAAAAGAATGGCTATTTTTTGGTGAAGATTTGTAAATAGCCCTAGATAGTTTTGCTCAGTGAATAGAGCATCCGCCTCCGGACTGACGGGTCCAGGGTTCCATTCCAGTCAAGGGCACATGCTCAGGTTGTGGACTGGATCCCCAGTAGGGGGGCATGCAGGAGACAGCCAATCAATGATTCTCTCTCATCATTGATGTTTCTATCTCTCTCTTCCTCTCAGAAATCAAATATATATGATTTGTAAATGTATAGTCAGGAAATGTGGGTTTGGCTTAGACAAAGAATTTACTGTCTTTTGACCTCTGTTTATTTGTTTAATTTGAGGGTCTTCTAGACCTCCCTGCTTAGACATGTAGTATGACTCCAGGAAAACAGCACCTCCTAATTGAGCCAAATGTGTGGGTGAATGTAAAGAAATCAGAGTCTTAGACAGCAAAGCAAACAATATTGACAAATGGAGAAAATGGGGATAAAGAATAATCACTTATGAGAGATTTTCTTCTAGACCAGAAATCTCAGAAGGCAAAATAATACATGTAAAGTGTCCATATGTTTACTTGGAGTGTTTTTAACATTTAAAAATGTAGAAATGGGCAAGAAACAAACTTTAATGACAGGTAGAAGCACATTACTAAAGTTTGAAGGATGGCATTCTGTAATTTACATAGTGTGTTCTTGCATCAGATTTATGGCAAATGACAAATGGCTACCACCGATGAGAAGGTAAAACTGTGTCTTAGAACTAATAAAATTCTGGTCAAGCACTGCATTGAAAGGAAAATTCACTCTTCATTGCCAACAAATTCACTCTTCATTGCCTATCATAAATTTTGGTACCTTGGTTTGCAAGTCTGCTATTACTTTTCAATCTTGAAAAGAATTATGGATCAAAAGCCTTAAAACATTACATATCCCTTGATATACCTCCTATTTCTAGAATTGCATGCATAAGAATAAAACTACAAATATGTCAATGATTAAACAATTTATAATAGTCAAAATAGAAAAGAAAAACAACACTAAATATCTAACCTCAGGGATTAATTAGTAAATAAAAACATCTTTGAATAATAAAATATTATACCACCATTAAAATAATGCATACATTTAAAAATTCAAAAGCATGTCAATAATGTATCTTAATGATAGAAATTTCAATTATTTTGCATATTAGAAGTTACTAGGAATTACAGGTGAATATTTAGTCTGTTCCCTTTGGTTCCTAGATTTTCTAAATTTCTACCATGAACGTAAGTAATACTAAGAAAAAAAAAAACATTGACACAAAAGATAGTTTAAAAATGTAGTTAGGCTCACATGAAGACTGTATTGTCAATATGTTTAAACACAGAACAACAGAATTTGCACTGCAAGCATGTTTGGGGATTGTTTCGGCATCAATCTAAGTTAAAAATCCAGACCTTATTGTTACTACATCATACCCATGCAGCGGGTAGCCAGAGGCAACTCCAATTCCTGTTAAACAGTAGGAAGGGTTCTTACTAGAGACGGCTCTTCTGCCTCCTGAGGCGGAGGGGTGCCGTCAGGCATGGAGGAAGGACTAGCCTCATTCTCAGTGGTCACATCTCCATCTGTCAATGCATCAAATGAGGGCAATCCGTCTTCATCCACAGGGAGACTGTCCAGTGTCTCTGTGAGAACTGCTAGCAAGTTCGCCTCATTCTCTTCATCTATCTTCTGCAAAAACAGAAGACAATGTGAGTGAGTTGACATTGGGAGATGGGTAACACCATTAATCAGTATAGATTGGATATGTTTAGCCAAATGAATAAGAAAATACATGAAATTTTGAATGTTCATGCCAGAACACTAAGATCACATCTTCCTTAAACTCCAAATTCACTTTTGGTCTGAAACACACAATTAATTAGTATCTCTTCTGTACCAATTTCTGATTGTTGACCTGTCCAATTTAGCAATTTATTATGTCAGTGCTTAATAAGGCTGTATATAATTCTGTCTTGTTCAGTTATTTTCCACATGTTTATGTCTTATTTCCCTAACTAAAAAAGATGTGATTTAGAGAGTCTGAGGCAACTTGAGAGAATTTTGACCATCATCTCTTTAATCCTACACAGCACACCTGTGGAAATGTGTAGAACACTGCTTGAACATCACCAGAAACTAAAACTATACCAAGAGAAACTACACTGTTATGATTTCAATTATAATCTCATCACTGAATACTCCCCAGTCATTTTTTCCCCTAACACTTTTCCCAACTTTAGTCATAAATTTATAACTGCCTACTGGACATTTCTACCTGATAATAGCTCCCTCATCTCCAAATTCAAACTTACTACTATCTCTCTTGACTTCTCATGTTTGGGTAACAATTTTTCAGACCTAAACTTTGGAACTACTTTGAGTTCTCTTTAGCTGTTCAGTTGCTAAGTACAATCTTACTTTGCAACATCACTTAAATGCATTCATTTCTGTGGCCAATGGCATCTAGTGCAACCTTACTTCTAGTGCTGGATCCTCCAACCACACTCTAAATCATTTTTTTACATTCATTCCCACAAACACATTTTTAAAAAAATATATTTTATTGATTTTTTTTTAGAGAGAGAGGAAGGGAGAAGGATAAAGAGCTAGAAACATCGATGAAAAAGAAATATAGAACAGCTGCCTCCTGCATACCTCCCATGGGGGATGTGCCCACAACCAAGATACACGCCCTTGACTGGAACCAAACCTGGGACCCTTCAGTTCGCAGGCCAATACTCCATCCTTTGAGCCAAACCAATCAGGACCAACAAACACATTCTTGAAAAACTGTTGTTCACTCCACAAATATTTTTAACCACTTATTCTATATCAAAATTATGTTAGGTGTTGAAGGTACGAAGAGAAACAATAAAAAACTGCATCCCTCTAATACCGCTCTAGTAAAAGGGAAGGACCCATAAACAGTTTATTATAAAGGATAGTATTTATTTCAGTGGTTTCAAGCTCTCCCAAACTGGAACTTATGCACTTTGTTTATAGGGAAATGTTCTATATCAATTATATTATACTAGAGGCCTGCTGCACAAAATTTGTGCACAGGTGGGGTCCCTAGGCCTGGCTGGCAATCAGGGCCAATTGGGACAGGCTGATTAGGGCCACGCTAGAAAGAAAGTGATGGTTGCCGGGCCAGGAACAGAAAGAACGGACATCAGATGACAACACTGCCATCATTTGCGCCCTGCCACTGTGCGGTTTCCCGCCTCCCCCACCTCTTCCTTCTTTGCTGCCGTGCCTCCACTATGATGGGTGGGCAGTGGGCCCATTAGGGCCTGACAGCCAGGGGGTGAGGATGGGGCACAGGATGTTGGCTGCCAGCCCCAAGGAAGGAGCTGGCCCTCAGCACCCCTGGGAAAGGGGTCACGTCTGCTACCACCCACCCCTGGTTCCCTGTCACAGCCCAGAGGCAATCAGAGCCTGCCAACTATAGGGAGGAACTACAGGAGGTTGGCCAGCAGGCCCTGATTGGGCTATCTGGGCCTGCCAGCCTGGGGAGGAACCATGGAAGGTTGGCTGGCCAGGGTAGTTTGGCTGTGGGAATACACTGACAATCAGGGGGCAGCTCCTGCATTGAACATCTGTCCCCTGGTGGTCAGTGTGCATCATAGTGACTGGTTGCTCTAGTCGTTCCTATCATTCCAGTTGCTTTTGCTTTTATATATATAGATAGCTGGGCATATAGTATAGGTAGTAGTCACTGATTACTTGCTAAATAGTTCAATGGTCTGCATTTATTGCATAGGATGTATATTGTGTATATAACTTCTTTTCCTTCTGTTAGCATTTCACATAGTTTATTCAATTTGACTTGTTTCATAGGTCCTTTTTAAAGGTTCTGTGTGCTATGACATTAACAATAGCTAAATTATCTCATACAGGTCTTATTACAAAGTGCACCTAAGCTGCTGACATCTAATGAAGCCAGCAGGGCCCACACTCCCTTTCTCTCTAGCAGTGAACTCTAGTTAATTGACCTGACAAAATTACAAGAATCACAGAATAAGACAGCTAATCAGAAAATCAAATTGTATCACTGGAGAAATTAGGCAGGTCTTTATCATGTACACATTCTATTTTCACATAAAATTGTTTTTCCTCATTACTGATCAGCCCCCATCCAGATTTCTTTCTCTTTTGGATTCAAGATGCCACGAAGAGCTATTTGCTACTCAGTGGACTTTACTGGGCATGTTTTCCATTTGCATAATACCCCTCTCTAATTCCTAATGCTGTTGGATTGGATGACATTGTGTGTGGAGTGACAACTATGTGAGTTTTAAGACTCTAATGCACCAGGAAAATGTTAACTTCAAAATGGTACTGCTTCCAGCAACTGACCAATTCCTTAATATCAAAATTGCTCAATTCAATAATAAAACTTATTGAACACCCCTCTTTATCCCTCAGTTCTTCTTGACAATGTAACTGTAATAATAAAAATACTGAAGTATATTCCCTTATTTTCTAGCCAGTATCATAATTTGATATCTAAAGATTCCAATCTCCTTATTTTTATTTTTATTTAGAAATCCATGTACCAAAAAAGCAAACCAGGTTATGAATCTGTTCTGAATAAAAATTATAATAAGATGAAATATATATTATATAAAATATTGCAAATCATGAAATTTATATTCTATAAATATCTACATATAATCTAATTAAGATAATTTTTAAAATGTTTCAAGCACAAACACACATATGTATTTTAATAAATTGGATATTTTCCAAGTGTCCCAATTTTATGTGTTTATTTAAAATTTAAAAATAGCTCAAGAAAAAATAGTTAAGATTATTCACTAATAAATGAGTAGTTTTGTTTATACCAATATATATTTTGTGTTTGGCTTTCCTTTAATCTGACAAGCCTCCAGTTGCTTTAATCACATAATACAATAGTGCTTTAGTTTTATCCCTGGTGTAAACAAGCTATAATAATTCCAATCAAGTCAAAATTACAATGATCACTTAAATTAACCAGTTTCCCCAAAAATTCATTAATAAGCCTGGATGAATGTATACCAAATGCAATGCCAGAAATATTGTAGGTTGATAATGTTATAATTATTTTACAAGATCTGATTAAATGGCCAACTATTTAATTCTCCTCTCTACTGGGGCCACAATGAGGGCTAAGTGTTATGAGATGGAAGATTTGAATTGTGTATGAGTGTGTGTGTGTGTGTGTGTGTGTGTGTGTGTGTGCGCCCGCGCGTTGGGGTATGTAGGTAGAGCAGTCTGGTGTTCAATTATTATGGAACAGGAGGGGTTTAATCAGGAAGTGTCCATTTGCAGTAATTTGAATCTCTTAATAATCATCTCTATATGTGGATGACTTACAGAGGTTCAAAGACCAATTATTTCAGAAAGGTAGTTCTCTAAATAAGAAGAAAATGATGCTATTATTTCAAATTCTCCGCTTTCTTTAACCATAAAAATTGGGGGAAAGTCTGATATTACCAATGGAACTTTTCTGTTGAAACTCAACAGATATTCCTATATGTAAACTTGAGTGGGAATTGCCCTTAACCATGGCAATTTCAATTAGTTTACCATGGGTTTCAACAACCAAACACCCCCACAAAGGCCATGGATGTGACAAAAAGAACTCTGTTAAACAATTAATGTCACTTTCCATTATTGCTTTGGTCCCAATTGACAGAATATGCAGGTCAAAGCTGCTGCAGAGGAAGCTCACTGGGCTAGTAACACATGTCTGTTCGCAGGTCCTGGGAACACATTCATCAGTAAAACCACATTGCAAGATAACTATTCAAAGATTCTACTGTGAGACTGCAAATGACTGTTCTAACAAAAACATAATTAGCTACAAATTAGTTTTTATAAAAGAAAGAAAAGCAGCACGGTGAGGAGAGAGCAGATCACCAATTGGATAGTGGAGTAGATCAACACAAACTGAGCTCAGCCTTGCAACTGACCGCTGATGGGTGCAGCAAGGTACAAACCAGCCAATAGGCATCTCCTCCATTGAGCTCTAGAGCAATCAAGCAGCATTTCCCAAGGTGGGGTTCAACCTTGGGCTCTTCTTACACAATGCTAGTCCGCTGCTGTTTTTCCCAACCTAAATAAAGGTCCATGTGACTGTAACACTTCATTCTCTAAGGATTCTCCAAGAATAAAGAAAGCACATCAACAATAACTCATTCAAGGTATAAAGAATTTTCAGTGACAGATGATACGCATACATGAATATGAACAACCCAAATTTAGAAAGTGCAACAATTCCAAAGCAATGTCATATCCTTAATAAATGAGAGTTCAGAACAGTCAACAAAATCAGAAAGTTCATGACTCCTCTTTGGGACTGCTGGGTCCCAACATGACCTGTACAAAGTGTGCTGTATTTCAAAAGGCACAGTGGAAGGAAGGAAAATTCTGCCCCTTCTAGTGCCCAGTGTCACCTCAAAATTGAAATATTGGATCCAGTGTATAATCACTGGGCCCTCTTCCTTTGTGAGCAATTGGCAAACAGATCTCCCAACTGGTTACATATTCTGGGACAGATAGTGCATTTCACTCATACAACTAGACCTGGAGAGTGAATAAATCCACTAAATTAAAGAGGAGATCAGGGACTTTGAATTGCTAACTGACACTTGAGGGAGAAACCCAGAGTGAAACCAGCATGTGGTATCCCCAAGATTTCT